TATCTCGGTGTTGTTGCGTTTGGGCACTAGTGTACGACTAACAAGAGCAAAGGCTCATAATTTCTTCAAAAATTGAAAAAAGAAACGAGGTTCACTTTCATTCTGTTCAATATTTTATGTGGGTTATATCTCTATACCACCTAGCCATAGTGGTTGTATGGTGTAATGGTTAGCACGTAGGATTTTGATTGCTCGCGCTGAGCAGCCGAAGATAACTTCGAAGTCGAGGAAATCGTTCACCACGAGCACCGGCCGGACTCAACTTACTACTTGTTACGCTGGAGCGGCTACCCTGAGGAAGACGACACGTGGGAACCGGCTGACCACGTCCAGGAATCCACCATACAGGAGTACTGGGACAAGCACAAGGGTGCCTAGATAGTACTTAATTATGAGAGGGGGAGTGTAACGGACTGTAGGTTGGACCTCGTTAAACGAGGTCACAACAAGACTCGAACCGACGAACAATCGTTCGAAGGTTCAGAGTTACCCCTAGGCCACAGAGCCTTTCTTGTTTAGTAGGACATGCAAGTCCTTACTTCAAAGGCCCTGTTCCAACCTCCACCTTAGGGAGTCAACCTTAGCAATGTAGCATTTGCTTTACTGCAATTTCAAAAATTCCAAAAACTAAAGATGCTAAGATCCCAATTGAACTATAAAATCATCTATTATTTCTCCTACCAAACTAAAACTAGAGTACTCTCTCCGTGTAGGTAGTAGCATGGAACATGATAATGTTTAATGCGACTTTCATTAGTCAACTTTTCAATTATGCAGGGTCAAAGGGCTAGACCAAAAATGGTCACAGCCGGGCTCGAACCGGCGACATTCGACTCACAGCTAAAGCTATTAGATCGACATGATAACCGACTACATCATGCGACCGCAAGTTAACCAAGAGACCGAAATGAACTATATCAGGCATAATCAATTATGAAGTATTGAAATGGGATTTGTAGTCGTACGTGTCATACGTTGACAAATTGAAGATATAATAGTACGTGAGCATAAGTATTAAGTAATTATACTAATCATGATCTTTTAAGCATAACAGAAGCGAAACAGGAGTGTTGGAATCTTTGCTTTATCCTGCCATGAACGTACTGACAAGTAGTTGTAGGCTGTAACTGACACAGGACACAACACCATCGTAATAGGCTTTGTGGTTTAGTGGTATAATGATCGTTGCCATCGAATCACCCGGGTTCATTCCCGGCAAAGCATAAGCTTACATTTTTGAGTTCAGCGACAGGTTATTCATCTTTATCCCATGTCCTAATGAGCAGTGGAAAAAGAAAAGGACCCTCCATGGCGAGACTCGAACTCGCAACCTCTGATTGATCTGCGTAGAGTCAGACGCTCTAAACCGATTGAGCACACGGGACTTGCTAGATTTTAACTAAATATATTAAGCACTATATTATTATTTTTTACTCTTCAGTACATTCAGTATATATTTGTATAAGTTCATAAGACCTTACATTACCTTCTCGTTAACAAGATCAAAATGTTGCTACAAGCTTTAGAATTAGCTATTAATAACTGTTGTTTTCAAAATAATCCGCTTGAGCATTCATTCAAGGTTAATTGCATGATTATGAACGGTGGTTCCAAATACTTGAGCAACGTTTTTAAGAGTATTACTAAATACTCTTTGAAGACAAAACATGCCACAATTTGCGAGTATTATATGAAACAAACTCTCTTATTACTCAACTTCATGTGCATGAATGTTAAGGTCTCGTGGCCCAATGGTTAAGGCGCTTGACTACGGTTACGTGCAATCAAGAGATTCCAGGTTCGACTCCTGCGGGATCGATTTTTTTGCTTGTTTCGTGTTTATTGGAAGCTTAAATTGGGAGATAATGTTATTAATGACATGAAACAATACAACAAACAATCAATCTAAAACCTGTAAAGTATATCATATACACTAGCTAGTGACATTAAATTAGTCGCAATGGTGTAGTTGGAGCATGACAGACTGAAGATCTGTTGGTCACCGGTTCGATCCCGGTTGTGACACTTTTTAGAAGGACTGACTTGCTGTCAATGACTGGTCAAGTTCTAATGTATACTCGAGGATCTGATGCATCCGTGTGGTCCAACGGCTAGGATCCGTCGCTTCACCGACGTGGTTCGACTCCCCGCAACGGAGACAGACAAGTACAAAAGCCCTTTTTCTATACTGTTCCTTGTTTCCCACAGACGAACTAGTTCTGTAGATTATGTGAACTTGTTGGCCTCTTTTAAAAAATTGTAATAATCGGTGTGTAGCAGACTTGAGGATAATACTATTTAAAGGGACAGGTATTTGTATTGAAAGATATTCGATAATGATGAGTTGTTGGTAAGAGAGAGAACTACTGCACATAATAAAGTTAGTACTTTTAAACAAGTGTTAATATTCTAAGCACGTTTTGCATTACAACTTAGTATTGTTAATATATAGATTTGATATTGCGAAGACCATGCTTTAGAAGGGTGTCCGAGTGGTTATGGAGCTAGTTTAAGGTTGGCTTGAATTGAAAAGGTCGTCGTGGGTGGTTCGAGTCCTCAGTATTGGTTTTTCCTTTTTCCTAAAGGATTAGATTATAAGCTCTATTTTGTGAGTGGGATTGAAGTGGCTCTGATGGTGTAGTTGGCTATCACACCCGGCTGTAACTGTATTCTATGCTACCGGTTGTCGCTAGTTCGATTCTGGCTCAGGAGATTTTTTTGGCCTATTGTATCAATACTACGTTGGCTAATGTTGATAAACCCTCGAAATAGTAGTACACGTGTGTTTTAAGCGAAAAGATAGCCAATCAAACTAATGGAAAGGGTGTGTCAGTTGCGCAGTTGTAGGCAAATAATCAATAAAACATAAATATAAACGTAGTATCTCATGTAACTAGACAATTTCGAATCCGTTCAAGGAAAACTAGACAATTCGTTCAAATAAAAAAACTAAGAAATGAAAAAAAAAAAGCTAAGCAATTTTCTTTTGTCTAGCGACTAGTTTTTTTTTTTCAAAATTTTTTTTTGTTTACTTTCAAATCATACATTTCACTTTCAACCAAGAAGAAAGAATGAGAAAGGAAGGAATAAAAGCAACACACCAAGAATAAGCAAACACAACTGGAGAAAATGAAAATAAAAATGAGAATGAGTGTGAAAAAAGCGAAGAACGGTTTCGAACTCAAGTTGAATAAAAATTATTAAAAAAAAGGTATGGAAAGGATAATAGAACAAATAACATATTTTACACAAGAAGGGATTAATTTTTACATAACTCGTAAGACGGCGGAAAAAACACAGCTATCTTAACGAGCGTGCGAACATCGCACAAGCGATAATTGTGCGACAAAGAGGAAAAAAGTTTGGCAGTGATCGGTATTCAGATAGCGGCATATCTTTCCAACCATATCATGCCACGTCCACGAAGCGATAAGCTTTAACGGAAGGCTGGTGGGAAACCTGCATCGTTGGCCTACTTGCTCGTTAGTACTGCGGTTGGAGACAACGCGGGATTGTTTGACAGACTTCATTATACTTTAAACTTCATTATCCGCTCTTCTCGTTTCCCTTCCTTCTTTCTTTCTCTTTTTCTTTATGTAACTCGTTTCTCATTGCAATCACTTAATCATTATTAACTTGCTCTCTTTTTATACACTCTTAATAGTTTTTCTAGCCTTTTACGTTAATACTTTAGTGAATTCATAGTCTGTTCTGTGTTTATAACTGCCTATCCACAATTGAAAATTATTGGTGAAAAGCACAATGGGAATACTATTTAGTTAACAGTAGTCAAAATGTAAACCAAAACCTCCGTCAGGGGGAATCGAACCCCCGCGCATCGGTGAGAGCGATGAATCCTAGCCACTGGACCATGACGGATTAGCTATACTCATGCTGCCTCTTAGTTTATTAAGTGATAAATCCAAAACATGCTGCCATAAGGAGGACCAAGAGAAAAAAGA